TATGCAGTAGATTACAAAGGGGAACATTGGACTGATGCTCCTATTGCCATTCTACAGGGCGGAGGCATAAGATCTTCTATTTTGCATGCAGTGACACCAAGCAATGTAACAAAAGGTGATCTGTTAAGCGTTCTGCCTTTTGATGGCAATATGGTGGCCTTAACAATGAACGGTACTGTCCTTTTACAAATTTTGGAATCTTCTGTAAGGAAACATGGTACTGTAAATTTCAGGGGTGAATTTTTACAGATGTCAGGACTTAGAGTAACATATGATTTAAAAAAACCTCCTGGTTCTAGAGTAATTATAGCCGAATCTAGATGCTGGACTTGCAACATCCCATCTTATTCTAAAGTAGAAAATAAGCAAATTTTCAAAGTTTTAATGCCAGGTTTCATGAGTAATGGCGGAGACGATTACTCAATGGTTAAAAATTTGCCTAAGCAGAAACTTAATTTTAGCGAATTGATGGCAACGGAATATTATGTCCAACGTCACAGCCCTATTTACCCTGAAATAGAAGGAAGAATTCAATTTCATGAAGGTGATCAAACAAGTTCCTGTGGTGGTTCTAAATTATCGTTAATTTCTCTAGTGATCTGTTTTACAAATGCATTTATGTTTTAATTTTGATTTTATCTTTAGATGTACATATACAGGGTTTCCCAGAAAGAATGGATAATTGTTGAAACACCTCATAGTAGCTATTGGGGACACAAAAAAAAATTCAGGTAGTACCCAAATTAGGTTTTTAGTCGAATTTACTCCTTTTGCATGTTAATAGCAATAACCTCGTATTTACTTCAGACAAAAGTATGTTTTATACCATTTTAGAATCTCTATTATACGCGCATACTTTTTAAATAATTGGCCACTTAGAGTTTCATTCATCTTTTTTCACCAAATGCGCTTATACTTTCACATACAGATAAAAATACTTCATTTCATGAATAAAATTTAAGTTCGGAATAATTTTTAGAAAAAAGTACAACGGCTACTCATATGGTTTAGTGCATATCCATTGCTAGGGCGGTGAGCATGTTGCGCGGGTGCAATACCATTATCGATAAAAACAAATGAGTCATCGAAGGCAGGTACACGGTGGCGGGGTGGGGATACGAAGGGTGGTGAGACATTGTTATGTTACGAGTCATTTGTACTTACCTGCAAATTATAGTACATTATGTCGAAGAGAAATGTGTTTTTATGCATTCGTTCTCTGAATTTCTTTAGTGACACAATGGCCACTCCTTTGTTTTGTATCAAAACGGCAGAATTTATTCAAAATAATGTTTGCACGTGTTGTTATCAACAATGTGTTAAAATTTTTCACTGAAATAAGAATAGATCCCGAAAAGTTACAAGTGTTAATTTCTGCCGTTCTCGTTAATTTGCTGCGGCGATATGTGGTGTAAGTGTTCGATTAGTGATGTTTTCTTTCATTTTTATCACTAACCCACAAAATGACAAAACTAAATACACTATCGATAACGCTTATCGACAACAATAATGCGCATCACTATGCCCGTCCATAAGGCTCGTGAGTGGAAGAGAGAGCGAAATACTCGCTTCACCGCTCCGATTTTTTATGACCCAAACTGCACGGACAAAATAATTCTACTATAGGTACCTAAGAAATATTACTTTTATTTTTTATTTTGAGTCCCCAGTAGCTCTACTATGAGGTGTTTCAAGATTATCGATTCTTTCTGGGATAGCCTGTATATTATACTTTGATTTTTAACATATGAGTTTTCATGACAAAACTATCACAATTAGTTATGACACTCAAAAATAAAAGTAAGTTTTTTATTGTTTTTTTATTTTCGTTTTTTTATCTTCTTCTTTTTTTCCCTACCTAACTATTCTAGTGACCTCAAGGGGTCAAACTAAATTCACCGAGCGAAGTTCTTCATTGCACCGGAACAAATCAATAACACTATCAATATTCCTGCCGTAAAGCCGCTACGCGTTGCGATTTCCAGTTAATCCAAAGTTTTTTTTTTATTGCTTAGATGGGTGGACGAGCTCACGGCCCACCTGGCGTTAAGTGGTTACCGAAGCCCAAAGACATCTCCAATGCACATGCCGTCACCCACCTTGAGATACGAGTTCTAATTTCTCAGTTTTTAAAATACAACGGCTGCCCCACCCTTCGAACCGAAACGCATTATTGCTTCACGGCAGAAATCGGCAGGGTGGTGGTACCTACCCGTGCGGACTCACAGGACTTCCTACCATCATTATAAGACGAGACTTCGACCTCGGGTTTCCGTGTGCATTCACAATGCTATCCATGGGCTACGACACAAAAATACCCTCAATTACATAAATCTGCAATTTGACAAGTCAGTCCTCAATTAGTATTAATACATTGTATGCAGGGACGTCTTAAACTAGGCTGGGGCCCTTGGGCACAAAATAATTTGAAGCCCTTTTGGAAAGTAAAAAAAGCGAATTATAATAACATTTTTTTACTGAGTATGACCATTTAATAAAGGTAATTAAATACAGTATGATATAATATGTCATTTAATGATATTAGAATGCTGCTGGTTTTTTGGTTACGATTACGAGAACGGTTTCCAAACTAATTTCGTCAATATGATCTAAAATAATTGCTGTGGTAAAACGTGGAGACATCGATTGCATTTTCTTATCAGCTTTAAATAAAATACTTTCGGTGATTTTGTAGTGCTTACAGTTCTTTCGTCCTTTTTTATTTCTCTATCTTATTCTAATATCTCAGCGCCTATTTTAAAATTTACCCGGTTGCTACTGTAGCGCCACCCTTATTTAGCAGATTTTAACACACACTAACCCATATTAGTACAGTAGGAATAGGCGCAGTCATCGATATAATGGCGCAGTATATGCCTTGTAAATACCTTCTGATAAGATAACTGATTTGTGAAAAAAGTGTAATGTGCCCGACAAAAATGTTTTGAGAATAAATGTGTGAGAGAAGCTGTCGGAACTTCGGGGCCCCCTGAGAATGGGGGCCCTGGGCACGGGCCCCTTGTGCCCTTATGGTGAAGACGGTATTGATTGTATGTATAAGTATTGATAGTTTTTATTGACGCCGATGAGTAAACCATCCCTATCTCTCTCCCTCTTTCTCTGAGTGATAGTTACTGAGACATGAATTTGATTCCAATTGGTAATATATTCCAAATAAAAAGTATCCTATACCTACTTCTAACCGGAACGCATTGCTACTTCGCAGGAAAAATGGGCAAATGGCCTCCAGAACTACACAACAATAAGTATAGAACAGAATAATAGGTAACACTTTATTTTAAAACTATGGAAACAAATATAACTTTGGAAAAACAAATAAATACAAATATAGATTTGGTTTTTTATAAGAGAGAGAAGAGTAGAAGCGATCGCCCACCGACTAATGTGGAGAGGTTCGTTTACTATTTAAACATCGGTCGCTATATTGAGACAAGCTCGGAAATTACTTCCATCGGAATCAGGATTTTACTGTTAATGGGGAGTCCTGTAAGCCCGCACGCGTACTACCACCTTATTTCTACGGCGCAACAGTAATGTGTTCTGGTTCGAAGAGTAGGACGGCCATAATATAAACATTTTCACGGATCGTTTGGAATCTCTGGGTCTGCGGAGGGACATCGGTTCCCTCTGTATTTTGTACCGTATGTTCCATGGGGAGTGCTGTGAGGGGTTGTTTGAGATGATACCATCATCTCGTTTTAACCATCGCACGGCCCGCCACCGGAGTAGAGTTCATCCATACTACCTGGAGCCACTGCGGTCATCCAGTGCGTTTCCAGAGAAGGGTCCACGGCGTTTCCCGAGTGCTATGACATGTCCTTCTTCAAACGAGGCTTGTGGAGACTATTAAGCGGTAGGCAGCGGCTTGGCTCTGGTTACCACTCACCATCAGGTGGGCCGTATGCTCGTCTGCATACAAGGGGGAAAAAACTGATTTGGAGCTTATGTCTGAAAGTGTGTGGCGGCATCTATATTGTTGATATCTATGGGCTCCGGTAACCACTTATCACCAGGTGAGCCGTGAGTTCGATCACCCGTCTAGGCAATAAAAAAATTGGTTCTGTTCTGCTCTTCAAACTGAAGAGCTGAATTGCTGAGCAGTTAAAATAAACCATGATGTCTCCGTCTCGTAAAGACTTATCATTACATAGATAGAAGAAGATACAAAATATACATGTATATTTATTATAAAGCAGGATTAACACGATATATATATATATATTTGATTGCTTAGTTTGAATTTGACTACATAATATGATGGCGGATAGATATGCGCCCATTTCGGGACCCATGTTGGCCATAAAAGCTCTTTTAAGGAAGTAATAAAAAAAGATGATTTTGTGGCTTGTAAAGTATGGCTGGGACGTTTCAAAAGTCGTCATGTCATATGTAAAGTATTCTTGTAAGTTTTATAGTAATGATGACGTAAATTTTATAATATTCTATTGCGTTGTTTAATTTACTAAATTCGACATACATAATGGTGTATGATTTGCTATAGGCTATATTTGGACTATAGGGGGTCTTGGGCAGTACCCACTCTATAATCCAAAAAATTCGACAGTACGACACTGCCCTGCAAAACGTTTATCGGATTACCGAGGGTCCAGTGTACATATGTGTATAATAGTTAATTATTTACTAATGAGTATAATAGTTATAATGTTTAATATAATATATAATAGTTATTTATTTACTAATGAGTTTTACATTCTATTTTGCGTTTATACTTTTAATTTTAAATAGAAGACATAAGTCGTTGTTCAAATGACAACCTGAACCAAACGTACATTATCAATATTAGTTTGGTTATAAAATACTAATGCTGTATTTACAGGCTCCCCTCAATTGCCCAGTAATAAATCTGCTGGGATTAATTTTTTTGTACTTGCTTTTAAAAGATATCAAATAATGTGACATTTTAAGTCACTAAAGGGTTTTATTGAAAAATGAAATGTAATCGAAAATATTTTTTACAGTCACTCGGAAACCACGAATTCGACGACGGCGTGGAAGGAGTAATACCATTCATCAGGAATGTGACGATGCCAGTTTTAGCTGCAAACCTTATACTGACCAAAGTTCCTGAACTTAAACAAGAGCCAAATTTACGTAATACAATAATCATAACGATAAACAACATTCAAATTGGTATTATAGGATACCTAACACCAGACACCAAATTTATGGCGCAGCATAACGATGTTGAATACGAGGATGAAGTAGTGGCCATAAGACGTGAAGTAAAAAAACTAAAAGAAGAAAACGTAAAGATCATCATCGCCTTGGGACATTCGGGACTTACTAAGGATTTGCAAATAGCTAAAGAGGTTGATGATTTGGATTTAGTCATAGGAGGTCATTCAAATACATTTCTTTCTAATGAAAAAACATCAGAAATACCCGAAGTATCTAAAGGGCCATACCCCATGATAGTAAAGCAAAGATCTGGAAGGCTAGTTAGAGTTGTACAAGCCTATGCATTCACAAAATATTTAGGAAACTTACATATCATATTCGACAACAATGGAGAAATAATCCGAAGCGATGGTAATCCTGTTCTACTGAATCAGAGGGTTCCGGAAGACCCGGATGTTTTGAAACTGGTCAATCAATACCGTAAAGTTTCTGAGGAGAAAAGACTACACGACGTTGTTGGGAAATCAATGGTACAGTTAGATGGCGAACAATGTCGCGTTAGGGAATGCAATATTGGTAATCTAATAGCGACGGCAGCTTTAAATTACACTAAAGAATACCATCAAAGAGAATACCCTAATGTAAATATCGCTGTGATACAAGGAGGAAAGATTCGAGGTTCCATAGTGCAGAAAGAGAAACCGTTTGTTATAAGGATCGACGATTGGTTAACAGCATTTCCATTTACTGACAATTTAACTATCTTATCAATGAACGGTAGTACGTTACGTCGAGCATTAGAACATTCGGTAACGAATTGGACAACTATAGATAGTCCCGGGCAGTTCCTTCAATTTGATGGCATGGAAGTGGTCTACGACTTATCCAAACCAAACGGGCACAGAGTAGTAAAAGCTAAAGCAATTTGTTCGAATTGCGGACAGTATAAACCGGTCGATATTAAAGATTATTATGAATACGAAATTTTGATTGGCCAATTCTTGGCGGACGGCGGAGACGGATTCTCGATTTTCAGTACGCTACCGAGAAAAGATCTTCCTTACAATGAAATTTACTGTATTCTAAACTACACAAGGAAGTATAGTCCGCTCAATCCCAAATTAACAGGCCGCATTGTACTATTAAATGAAGAAACTATAGAAAACCAATTACCTTCATCAGTTTCTCGGTTACTTGAACATAGTTTAATGATATACTTCTGTGTATTCATTTTGTGCATACGTCAATATGTATTTACAAAAATTTTAGATTAATGTAGATAATTCTTAAAATAGTATATATTATTAGTTCGAAATGATACATAGTATCAGTTTAATGACATGTGAGATTAAGTAATTAATAAATTTATCTAGTTTAATGATACTTGTTTTAATAACACAAGGTAACGGTAAGTCCCACTTTTCTCATATTCAATACTTATACTTACCTATGACCATACATAAATACCAAGATCGTCTTTTATTTCTTCATAGTGAAAATTAATACAAAAACTTCATTTTGACGAAATTGGCTTCTTGCCCAGAACAGTTATTAATCTACGTCGGCACATACTAAAAGAGGCGTTTGACTGAGTCACTGATTCTTAGAAAGAATAATTAAAAAATAAACTATTCGATTTTATATTTTAATATTAGTACAAAATACAAAACAGACGATAATTAAAAAAAACCATTAGGCACATAAAATACTAAAGCAAGGCACGATATCTCTTCCTTAGGTATAGTAGTTAAAGAATTTCCCCAAAACTAGATAAGATAGTACTGGCATATTAAACATATTTTTGTGATTATTCCAGTATCAAAGGGTGATAATTAAAATACTGGGGGTTAGGAGACCGCTTCCGAAAACGAAGACAGACGATAAAACTAATGACACCTTTGATGACGGGACGGAAAAAATGGATTCCGATTTAAAATCAAAAAAAAAAAATCATAAGGTTTTATTAGCATAATTTACGCTCCATAATGTTGGTACAGCTAAATAAAACGATAGTTTCATTAAAAATAGATTACTTTACTAAAAAAGAAAACCAGCAATGAAACACAAAAACAGCTGATGCTCGGATCAACGATCACACAAATACTTATTGACAACATTTGTCTAAATAACTCCATCATCAAAATTGTAATTAGTACTATCGTCTCTCTTCGTTTTGGGAAGCGGTCTCCTAACACCCAGTATAACTTCTATAAAATTAGGTAAGCTATATAAATGACTCGGGGCAGTTTAACTATGTTTAAAATGTTGGTAAAGACAGCGATGCCATTTACAGAGGCACAAATGATTCCCGCACTACTGCCTACTGCTTAAGGCTCTTTTCAAATCTACTTTGAGGGAAGTCTTGTTGGCGTTTCAGCCACTTAAAACTAGAATTTGCAGAAAATCTAATACTGTCACATGTAAGGACAATAATAATAAATTTGAAATTTTCAATTTCACAATAGATTCTATACATGAGTATGCTTCTAAACTAAACTTTCTAATTTAAAATCTTAATTTAAAAAACTTCTAAAGTAATCATAAAAATATTTATTAATTAACAAATAAATTTTGTTTTCGTCTTTTGTAAAGGTAGGTAACAAACAGCTTCTTTATTTTCTTCTGTGGGTTTGCCTTTTTAACACCCTGTATGTGAGTCGACTATTATCAAAACCGGCAATCTGACTTTTGGACAATGATTGGTAAATCAGAAAAACGAATTATTGACTTTGTATTCCATTGGCAGTCACAAAACTCTTCGGAACGACATCTTAGATAAATAACAGGTTAACTATTAACCTTTATTTAATGCAGGTTTTGAACCGTATTCTTTGAAGGAGACGATTATATTCAAATCAATCTGTATTGACATATCAATAAATTTTTTTTGTCCAAATGCACAGATTGCCACCTTTGATAATAGACGACTCATGTAGTAAAATTGAACATAATATTGATAATATTGAATGCAACATACTAACACATGAAAACTTATAACAAATAGATATTAATGAGAGCAGCAAACGACTTTTTGAACGAATGAACATACCACTAAATTAGAAAGAATTTTAACAACACAGGTCTATTTTAGAACATTTTTTGTTTAGCATTATACATAGTCAACAATTTTATCGAATTTATAATATTGAGATGCGTTTAGCTTTGGTAAATATTTTTTTTCATACAGAAATAAATACTTGTTCTCATCTCGTATACTATGGTCATACATACTCCTATGACACTAGAACAAAATTGGCCTAGATCACGTTATACTAAACACCTTACTAACAAAATTGAATCAGATATCGACAATCCAGCAAATTCCAGTGGTACAATAATCACTCAATGAACTAGCCACAGTCGTTGCACTAATTAATTTCAAGTTCTTACAATTTTAAGATCTTAATAGTCCAATTAAATACTCCGTGATACCCTGTCAGACATATATATCGGTCATGCAACTCATAGACAGTGGTCGATTTACTGATACTATAACTTTAAAATATTAAATTACAAATAAAGGACTAGAAAAACCAAACATTTTCTAGTAATCTGGGATCACTAAAATCTATTTAGATTATATTTTATTTAAATAATCAATTTTACATTGCGCATGTCTCTGATTTTCCTTAATAAATAATAATTTGCATCAATTTTGTGCACGTGTGACAATTAAAAAATAAATTTTCTTTGGTAAGAAAAAAAAAACTCCATATCTTCATAATAATATGCAAATTGCTTTAAGATTTAGTATTTTTAAATTTAAAACATGTAATAATAATAAAGAGGGTATTCTGCAAAAAGGTATACTCTTAATATCAAACTGAGAACTGCAGTATTTATTCTATTTGAATATTCGATTCGACAAAGATATGAACGAGAACCCAGAAATGGCTTCTAGGTGAGACATTGTAACCTTGGCCAAGATTATCAGTTTGGAGGCTGTCATATCTGAGCTTATAAATGAGGTAACAAATATATGCAGAGGAGTTCGATATCCTAATAAGACAGTACACGATGGTTCTCCCCAAAATGGGCCAACTGCCGCCGCCTCTCTCCGCCTAAACCGCACAGATATCACAGCGCAATACATGAATGATAGTCTGATGGTATGGTCCTATGTACAAATGGACAACTGGAACATTACACAGGATACCACTTGCACAAAGTATATCTCCATTGAATATAAGGTGTTGAGTGGTCATTAGAAGGGATACCCGGGCTCTATGCTAAACAGAACTCCTGAAAGCCTGGACTCCTGTAGCAGCTGGTCCATTACAATACATCATAAAGGGGGAAAACCTGTATAGTTTTGCAGGCAGAGAATACTACGACTGTTAGCTTAATAGGAAATGTGACCAACACCTATTGGCCCCATCTTTATAACGAACAAGATGAAAACCAACCCCCAGTAACTAGGAGAGTACTTTACCATTTTAAATGTGATCTACATTGTTGATTCTATAGCCATGTTTCAGATTGATTGATACCCATTGTGGGATACCCTGTACTTAGTAGTGTAATAATTAAGCAAGTACTTTTTTAACAAACAAAATGTCATTAGCATTGCTGCGTATATGAATCGCATTACTTTACATAGTAATAAGTATTACAAAAAAGCACTACTTCTTAAATACCTTAAGATATGGTTAAAATATTTTCCAGTTAATAAGATGTATACACAAAGAAAGCATTATAAGTGATATTTTTCTAAGTTATATAAAGGATATCTTAACTAGAAACGGATTTGTAACGTTTATATAATGAAAAAAAATGCAAGTGCTGCAAATTGCAGATGTTGATTTATTAATACTCTGAATCACTTAACTTTTGGTGGAATTGCATTCCATTCAATTAGCTTACCGTAAGGCACAACTCCCTCACATATAGCAAGGCACTGCTTGAAAGATTCCTGACAATCTGCAAGTTCTAAACATGGGCAATATGGCTCAAGTAGCTCCATCAGTTCACAAAGAGGCTTCAACAATTTCAAAGCTGTTCCCTTATCGCCCTTTTGTAGTTTATTAATAGAATTTGCATCTAACAATTTATTTTTTCTTTTTTGTATTTGAACAGGTACATTTTTACTCCTTCTCATTTCCAAGTAAGTAGGCCAGTTGTTTATGCAGGCTTCACAGCAGCAAACAAATTTGTATTGGAACTTAAGAGATTCCTGTCTGCTCCGACGGCCTTCTATTGCATAATGGGATCTGCAATCAATCAAATACCTTATTAGCCCACAAACATGTGTCGATGACGCTATACGGTGTTCCTGTGTAGTGCCACACCGACCCGCGCACAATTGCGGTCAGGGCGGTTCGCGGGTAGCCTACCGTCTCGTTGGAGGCAGCGTGCTCGCCAACGCCTCTCTGTGACTTGGTAGCGGAGACAATCCGAGTTCACCCAGTCCGAGAGTACTCTCGGACTGGGTGAAACGCGACCGAGAACGTCTCACCGTCCGGGCGATGCAGATGATCTCGGAACACGGCTGTTTCGGCCGCTACCTGCACGTCGCCTGGAGGCGCACACGCTCGCGTGCTGCCCCGCTTTCGCAGAGCAGCGCCGTTGCAAGAATAGCACCGGAATTGTCGCTTCCGACCATCGTGGCTATGATGCCCACCAGCGGCGAGTCCTGGCAAGCGACGCTCAACTTCTGCGAGTCCACCATCTCGCAGAAAGAGGGGGCGGAAAAGGAGAGGGAGAGCTCTTCTTCCTTCTTGGTGCCGTACAAATTACTTTGAAAGAGCAACCCGATCGTCGGTGTATCGCATTCCGACCCGGCAGACTGATTCTGACCCTGCGGGGTATCCCAGAACACCAGTGGCATCGCCGGGGCAGTCTGGTAGAGCCGCCGCACCGTGGAGATCGTCATCGTCGGTCGTCGACTATCGCCTCGACGACCGGTCGGTCGGGCGTCCTCGGGTTGACACCACTAGTCTGGTTGTATTGATGACCGCGGGAACCCCGCTACTCTGACCGGGTTCTGACTCCAAGCGGAGATCGGACGTCGGGTGTGAGAGTACAGGGGAGTTGTTTGGTACCGTAGGGCCCTAAAAATATTATTGAACCCGCGGTCTGCTCCCAACATCTGCAAATCGTAAAATCCCACATACCCCGCGCGCCCCCTGGGCAAAGGGAAACAGAGGGAGATTCGGCTCCGAAAAAAAAAAATAAGCACTGTGTATAATGTAGAGTGACACTGCACTTACACTATAGTAGAATTATTTTGTCCGTGCAGTTTGGGTCATAAAACATAGCCCGGCTAGGGCGGTGAGCATGTTGCGCGGACGCAACGCCATTATAGATACAAACAAATAAGTCATCGAAGGCAGGTACACGGCGGCAGGGCGGTATACGAAGGGTGGTGAGACATTGTTATGTTAAGAGTCATTTATGCTTACCTGCAAATTACATTATAGTACATTATGTCGAAGAGAAATGTGTTTTTATGCATTCGTTCTCTGAATTTCTTTAGTGACACAATGGCTACTCCTTTGTTTTGTATCAAAACGGCAGAATTTATTCAAAATAATATTTGCACGTATTGTTATCAACAATGTGTTAAACATTTTCACTGAAATAAGAATAGATCCCGAAAAGTTACAAGGTGTTAATTTCTGCCGTTCTCGTTAACTTGCTGCGGCGATATGTGGTGTAAGTGTTCGATTAGTTATTTTTACTTTTATTTTTAACCCACAAAATGACAAAACTAAATACACTATCGATAACGCTTATCGACAACAACAATGCGCATCACTATGCCCGTCCATAAAGCTCGTGAGTGGAAGAGAGAGCGAAATACTTTCACCGCTCCGATTTTTTATGACCCAAACTGCACGGACAAAATAATTCTACTATAGTGTAACACAAAGGGTGACCAAGGATTAAAATATCAGATAATCTAGCACATGTTTTATGATATCAGTAGCCTAAGTTAACTGATACATGATGATAATCCTAAGTAATACATCCATAAGGATGCTTTAATTTTATATTAATTTTATATGAAGAAAATTTCTGTTCCACTTCCAAAAATATAAAACTTGTGAAATTAAGAACAAGATCCGATTCAAATAAGTGCTTTTAATATCAGAAGGATCCTTAATATAGACCAAATAGCTTTATTCATTATGTAAAAATAAAAATAAAATAAAACTTACCCATAATTGTCAAAAATCTGCATACCCTTCTTAATAGGTCTCAATGCAACCAAGTTCTGTTCAGCAGAGCCCAACTTACTATATCTGACCACATTTGGTGCACATGAATGATTTATCAAACTACAAAATGGGTATGGTGCACTACCAATGTTTAGTTCATCAACATAATCTCCATTCTTGTTGGCTGTGTTAGTTATTATACCATGCATGTTAGTGGGGCTAGTCATGCCATGAAGTAATAATGTGCCAGCCACCCAGTTCTTTACCCAGTTGTGATGTTTTGCGTCATCAGCGTTCATAAAGTCAGTATTTTCAATAAGGAATTTTAGAAATACAGCTGCAGTAACGGATTTTTGAAAAATATCCGATACAGATCTCTTCTCCACATTTGATTCAAGTGTATGTATTGAAGCATAATACTTTGAATCATACACCCAATTATCTCCCAAATTTTCACATCCTCGCAAAGGTGTATTTAAATTTTTTTCAATCTCTACTATTTTTTGCAACAATTCTGGCCAATTCTTATGGTCTGTGCGGGCCCTTATAACTATTCTGAGAGCCAACAACTCTAGTTTAGTAAACTTCATATGCACCAATGTGGCTAATAAACCACATTCAACTCTGTGATATTCTTTCCATGCCTTTTCTGAACATTCTTTGCTACAATAAAGAGCAAAACAACAACTTTTGCATGGAAGTAAATTTAGATCTCTAGAAAGGCAATAATTGCAACATACTAACATTTGGCTTTTTAACACAACAGCTAAGTAGGGATTTTCATGGGCTAATATTTCACCTACCTGAATATCTTCTTTAGCCACAACATGTCGGCCCATTTCGTCATTAAAAACAACTTGTAATTTTGAGCTAGCACAGATATAAGTTTTGTCTCTTTCATGATCAAATTTAAGGATTTCACCTACTTGGAAATTAGTTTTTGTGCTGTCTTCTTTTACTTCCTTATTTTTTAATATAAAATTTTCACACATAGATTTCCTTTTGCTTAGTTTATTTTCTAGATCACGCGGATATTCCATAGCAAAAACAGTAACAATATCATGTATACATTCATCATATTGTTTCATCGAAAATAATACTGCTGATCTATTGGCTAAAGCAAGACTGTAACTCTCTGTGCCCAATGGTGCATGTATCAAAGACAAATTATAAAACTGTAAGGCTTCATAATTTTGAGTTGCTTTAAAAAATAGGTTGCCTTGGTTACGGTAATAAGTAGACACATTGTCATCCTTTTTCACCTCTAATACTTTGGGAAAAGCTTTCAGAGATTCAATTAACTCATATACGAATAGAACTCTGGCAGAATTTGTTTGCAAACTAATAAGTTTCTTAGAAATTTCCAATATTTTACCCTCATCCGTTAATTTGGCAATAACGCCTTCATAACAAGCATCTATACTCATACTGGTTTTGTTTAAACAAGAATTGTTTTTATATTATATTCTATCAGAGACTAAAGCGATCTGAACGGTACGATGTCGCACTTTGCAACGCCTTTTATTGTTGTAAATTTAGGATGTGAAATGATTTTTGTGATTGATCAGCGTCTGAAAGCACAAAACATCGCTATGGAGAAATGCGAAAAAGGTGAGCGTTTTAAAATTAATGTAATATACCACCCATTAAACAGCATTTAATTTTGACTGGAAATTTAAACAAAAAAATTTTTCTAATTTTTTTCAGTACTCACTGATATAGTCACCGTCCTCTTGCATCCGAAGTTGTTGGATGAATTATTTATACCGCAACCGGTAGCAACTCAGACTGTCGTTAAGCAATTACTTGATGATATTTCGACGACGTCTATAATGAGACTGGACGAATATTCATTGAGCAAACTATGGGATTTAATGACAATGATCTTTAAGTGGCAGCTGAGCACAGCAACAATTCAAAATATTTTCGATATCAGCAGACGTCTTTTTTTTTTTTTTTTTAATTTATTTACGGCCAATGGTTACAAGACCTTATAGCCTATCTTAAATTAATTTTCACGCATGAAATACGTAAAAATTTACAAGTAGTTATTAAACATTTCCTATTGTGTTAACAATATATCTATAAATTGGTTTAAAATACAACGGGTTTGATAAAATTTCTTCTAAGTCCATCCTTACGCCTGTTTGTAAAGGCGAGTCACCCTTACAAGCATCATCCAGCTCAGACACTAAAATTAATCTATTTATATTAAATTTATGACATTTCATTACNTATCTTCTTCAAAACTATTACTTACATCTTTGGTGTTAGCGTATTTTCTTTTCTTTTTGTCTGAATGCTCTTCCCCGTCACTATGCTGTCCCATTTTACTAAATGGGACGCAGAGCGTCAAAACTTAAAGTTATTAACTTAGATATCAGATGAAAATAATTTAAATTCAATTACGAAATTAAAAAAGCGCGCCTTGTTTTTGTCAGCAGACGTCATTTGAGAAGTGTTGCTGCATTGATGCCACGAAATTACTCAAAAGATATAATCGAGAATGCTATTAAAAGATTTGGAATCTTAGCGCAGGACCTATCCGACGAAGACTACAAATGCCTTAGTAATACGGTCATATTTTGGTTTAATCAATATCATGCTAAAATATCAGTTCTTCTACGACTCGGCTTGCAAAGAAAGGATGGTACCTTTTGCCTTCCAGTATCTATAAATCCCAACATAATAAAAAATTTAGGAGAAAACATATACAAATACGATTCCAAGAAAAAAACTTTATACGATTATGAAACTTGTTCTGCAGACTCCAATGAAATCAATTGTATTTTGGAGAGTATTGAAAGTATTAAGTCAAAAAGTAAAGTCCAGATTCAATTACCCATAGAATTTGGAAATGATTTTTCTACAAAACAAACTTTGGAGATTGAAAGAAATATGTTGTTCGAATCCATAAGTACGAATGTTAAAACGAATACCATGGATCTTAGATTTTCACCAGAGATGCCGAAATCTACTCAGGAGGATTTATTGCAAATGCTAGATGACTTCGATAACTAGTGAATTGAATAGTAATAGTAGATGTGTGTAGTTTAACTCAATGTTTGGAATAATTTTATTTCCCATAAAATAAGACAATCCCATTCATCTGGTAAGACTAACGATCAAGTTGTCGATTGTTGGTATTTTCCCTATTATAGTTCCGCTTATGGTAAAATACCAACCATCGACAATATTTCAATTAATATAATAAACAAACTAAAGTAGGTATAAATATAAGTTTATAGTGGATAATAATATGACGGGGGATGACTCACGTAGGTATGTAGACATTAATATTTAATGTTATCTGTAAGACTGTAAGCCCTATTAGTATTCACAGCCTCGTTTGCTAGTGAATTGTTTCTGTACGGTATATCGTCATATTAGTTAAATTGTTCCTTTTATAGTTTTCGAGCCTATAATTAAATATGGATAGTTACTAGAACATTATTTTCTCTCATCTTCTTATTCAATCGATTTACTTTTCATATAGAAATGCATTAATTTAATAAGATATGAAGATTTGGCTAAATGAGTAGAATTTATTAACAATAAATACCTGCCTAGACTAATGGATCCATATAAAAATCGCTCATTAATAGTGTCAGTTCTAATCTTAAGTAACTAATTTTTCAGTGATTACAAAAATGATTCTTTACTTTTTTTATGGTTGATAGATTACTGGTGGCCCGGGGGCCTTTCCAGTTTCACAAGGACAGGTGGGCGTGCAAAGGCTCAGCCAGGAGGGATGGGATTTGCTAACAACCGCCCGAGCATCTCCGAAGGAGACCTAACAACTCAAGAGCAATTGCGTCGCAAATGAATCTACTACCGGATCGGAATCGCGACCCACAGAGAAGATCCGGCGAGAAACTCAGCGGGTTGATGTATGGGTTGGGAGCGGGCTGATGTATGGGTTAGGAGGATTCTTAACTCAAACTTCTCAGTCGCTATTAAACTTAGTTTTAAGCTTTGCACCTATATTGTTCTATTCTATATTGTTATTTCATTGCTATATTTGATGGATTCCTCAGTTTAGTTGAATGGGCACCTTCTGCTGAACCATGGTACCCTAATTCGATGTCTGGTCGGATAACCAAATATCTTTATTAAGGTATTCGTAGTCTCGGTGTACCTATCGACCCTAGATATATTTTGTCCTTTACCTTCTACACTTCAGCTTCAAACACTTCTGGCCTGAGTTTTATAATGTTGTTGTTTGTTTGAAGGTAAGAGCTTGTATGCATTTTAGTTTAAATAGGCGTTGTCTAAAATAAACAGGTCTTCCAAGTAGAGAAATGGCCTTGAAAGGCCCTAAGCAAATATCTAAGGGAACTCCTTCTTAAAATAATTTTGTCCTTCAATGTGTTTCACTTAGAAACTCTTTAGTGTTTTAATCCAGATGTATTGCTCAATTTCAGGTTTGAATAGTCACTTAGTGTATTGTACACCCTCCTCATAATACAGGTATATTATTTAGCTCCCATAATTTCCATTTCAGGGCCTTTAAATCAGACAGCCTTTTTATTTCCCTCTACATGGCTACACCCCCAAACAAAATTGACACTATTACGTTTATTTAATTTTATTAAGGATCCCCAGCGTATGGCCTAGGCCGCACTACGGTTTTTTCCCGGGAGCGGTTAACCGCTGTAACCGCGAAACCGCTTCATACGCACACACTACAATTATTAACTGCGAATTCGCCCGCGATTTTCACAGTTTGAAGATGGATAAATTTCAAAAGAGCAGTAGCAGTGTGGCTCTGGTGCTAAGAAATAGATAAAAAGACAACGAAAATTTTACAAATGTTGGGTCTATCGACTTTCTAGCCGTAGATTTGAGAAAGGTTTCTTTCATAAGAAATATCGAAATTTAAGAAAACCCCTAGAGAAATTTTTCAATTAAGTACTATCGGATGTCAGTAGCCAATTTCATGAAAACAAAATTTCACAAATGTATTTGACATTTCAAAAAAACTGCCCGCGGTTCGGCATAGTGCGTGCACGGATACCTAGTTCTATGGATTACAAATTTTCTTGCGGTTTTTTTCCCCGACAATTTTGTAACATTTCGCGGTTTTAAAATCAGCCGCGGGAAAAAACCGCAAGTGCGGCCGCTTGTATTCGTTTTCGTGTTTCATAAACTCACACGGTTATTAACCGCTGCGGTTTCACCGTAGTGCGGCCTAGGCCTATGTGCGGCATTTTGTTCTCTAAACTATCAGTGCATAAGCCGGGTTATTACTGAGAATATGGATGGTTTTATTTTTTTTGTTTACGTACTATCTAAACCGCGCAAGCATTGATATACTTCCATGTGGAAGACTGATAATAGGTTTTGGAAAAAGTCTTTTCGCATTATAGTATGTATGAACTTGTACTATTTGTATCTCTTTACCTGTACTATTTGTATCTGGCTGGCTTTCGTATCATTAAAGTTTAAATTTTAAAGAATATAATTCCAAATTCAAATTAGGAAAGTGTGTGATTTTTATTTATTTTTCGCTGTGCCTACCTTACCTAGTGGGATTTATCCACTAGGAGGACACTTTAGGAGTGGAGACAAAGAAGATAAGAATAGGTTTATTAGGAATATCTAGCATAACTATAAACCTTAGTATTATCGGGGGAAGCGATATCGATTTAGCAAAAAATGTAAATACCACTCTCATTTCTTCAACAGTAAGCAAAAATATATTTTATAAAATGTTTTTATTTCCAAAAATCAATGTCACAACAACAAAAAACACGTTTAATCAGTCACAATAACGTTTCCTTTTTTATGCCCTTAGTCAACAACAATATTAAAATAGCTTTTTACAGAAAATACTAATTAAATGCCAGTTCTTTTATTTTTAATTTTTAATACAAAACATTTTTTTTATTGACGTCACCTTAAGACCATTATGGATTGTACATGGTGATTGATTCGATATTTTCCAAAACACACATTTCTTCGCTTGCGTTTATAATTTTAAAGGTGCAATATTATGAGATGCGTTGAAAATTACAACTTTTATGTGCTTGGCTCACTAGTCTAAGTGAAGCCAGAATAAGTCCTCAGAAGTAAGCAATAGTTATGAAAAAAAAATTGTGCTAGTTTTTAACAAGCGAAATCAAGATACTGGCGAATAACTAGCCCAGGGTTTTTATTATGCTCGAACTCGTATCATACATCCGTGGTGAAGTGCTTATAATGCAAGCCCCAATAAATTCTAGGCATATTATAAACCCCTAACTAAATGGACCGCTATTTGAAACCACAACATTAAGATTTATTTTGTGTAATAAACACTTTCTCTTTTGTTTTGTTCTTAACGTTTTTTTTTTTTTTTGCAAACGTGGAAAAAAAGCCGCTTCCATATATATTTTTAGTTGATCTCGTTAAAATAACTCGTCTATAGCTACTCAACCCCAATAAAGTAAATCCCATTGATCTCAAATCTCTTCTTACCCTTGTCAACTCCCCTTTCGTTTATATTCTTAGTTCATTCATTAACCATAATAATATTAAGCTGTAGTTTGTCTGTCTGTTATCGAACTAACCCCTGTATATATATGTTGTATGTATATTATTTTAGGTAAATCAACAGAGATTCTGTAATCAAACATTCTTAGCTACTCACTTAATTTTTAATGAATATCTGTGACCTTGCTCGTTCACGAAGCCCGCTATAGAAAGCAGAGTATTAAATACACTTGACATTGGCGAAATCTAAAAGGAAACGCCATAAACCTAAGAGATAGTATAAAGTAAATCATTTGGCGAACAATTCAAGTATACAATATGTCAGTGTCTATTTATGTACAGATAAAACAGCAGAAAAATCCAAAGACAACCGACAGCCGTACCTTCGGTTTAAGGAGGTTAAAAGTAAGGAGGAATAAGTATCTTGTTTAAGGGACAATTTGAAAAGTGTCCACTTGTAAACAGCAAGTTATTGTCGGAAGACTCACCGAAATAGCGCTAGTGTAGGAAGTAGAAATAGTATGAATATAGCAGTTTTAAATAGAGCGTGCCGAGTTGAAAACTTTAATATTTTTCGTGAGTTGTGCAATTAAAAAATATGCAGTATTTAAAATATCAACTTGTTATTTAAGTATTTCTCGTTCCTTTTTAATTCAGTATCCTATTCTAATCGTAACAAGTGAAGAGATTTCAAAAACAGCGGCGTTTTTTCATTTGTTACTATGACGCCAACTTATATGGTTCCTTTTCAGTGGACACTTTTTAATACACCGAGACGATACTCCTTGCTTTTACCCTCCATACTTCCGTTCCTTCGACACTGTAGATTTCGCGTCAGTTCACTTTTAATTAATTTACATTGCGCGCTGTGTCAAAATGTGTAAGTAAATTTTAAAAAAAATACGTGTATTTTTGTGCAATCCTAATTCGAATCATTCGTTCAAAAAAGCGTAGTCTGTATTTTAATACACATTTTTCTGTCCAGACACGCGGAGTTAAGTACTTTGAATTTCTTACCATAATTAATATGTAACTAATTAAAATACTGTTGTATCGATGTTAATGATTATATTAATGACTGTCAACATGTATTAAAAATACTTTAATAGTAAAATTCTGTCAAATTTCGTCCTTTTAAACTTACGTGTAAACGGACCTTATTGCCATATTTTTATTTGTTGAAATTACATAGTCCACTTTCCTAAGAATATTACATACTAAGTACAAAATCGTCGACCCTAGTATTTTTTTTATTGCTTAGATGGGTGGATGAGCTCACAGCCCACCTGGTGTTAAGTGGTTACTGGAGCCCATAGATATCTACAACGTAAATGCGCCACCCACCTTGAGATATAAGTTCTAAGGTCTCAGTATAGTTACAACGGGTGCCCCACCCTTCAAACTGAAACGCATGTCATCCCTGTTACTGCAGTTCTCTTGCATCTCTTTCTACCATATATACCGTTTCACTCAGTGTATAATATATTCTTTACCAATGAACCTACAGGCTACAGTTCCAACAAGATCACCTATCTAGGCTCCCTCAATACATGCCATTTAAGAAATTTGTTTAAGATAAAAAAATCAAAACATTTAAAACATGTAAGAGATATTTTTTTCACTAAAATACCCTATTCGTTGTGATTATAATTATAACTATCTACTTAAAGATCTAAAAATCAATTCAACTTTTCACTTTGAACGTTTCATACAAAATACCGTTGATATCTTTTGTTAATTTTTTCACTTCAATTTGTACAAAAATAGTTTATATTACAGTTACAGTTGTATTATTTATTAAGGGGTACTCTAATATGTCTAGTAGTGGATTCAAAGAAAAACCTTAATATTTTAAGCTCCCTTCTTTACATATAATGTAATGGTAAATTGGGTCTTATAACTGGTCTTAATTTACATGTAACTGTAAACTTCTATTATACACAAAGTATTATTTTAGTGGGAAAATGTAAATGACAAATTATGGTTTTAATTGAGCCATTAACAAAAGAAAACATATTGAAATAAATAATAGAAATAATGTAATGCCGAATTTAAAAATATTATGATGCTCTTCAATTTTAATCAACATCAAACCTCGTTCAGCTGAATAAAGAATAAAAACAGGTTTTTTTGTTGTTAATTATGCAAGTTTTCCATCACAACCAAAAAATGAAACTTACTTTATGACATTCACTATAGTTCATTGAAACACATACACATGAAAATACCAATAATGAATTTTCATTCACAAATCACCACTTTGATTAAGTCACACAAACAATTAAATATACGTAAAAAGCACTTACATCATTATTGTACACAACAAATCCCACACTTCGATTCAACTTCGACTAGGCACCTTTATTATACTTTCACCTTTATCACAACATGTAAGATGCACCGTAAAAAACTAAACTGTCTTGCCGTGTTCATAAATACACTTTTAATACGATACGAGATGCATCACAATGAAGTCAACAATCAGTCAATGAGATTTGAACACACTTAAAACTTAATTACAGTTTTACATTCAATTCTGCTAAGCATTCCATCTCGAACTTTCGGTTGAGCCGTATCTATTGTGGTCAGATTAGGCCCAAATTCGACTGTTAAATATTTGATCCAATCACGCGTCTCTGTGTCGCACCGCAATATTTTTTTTTTGGCGTTTATGGCCTGGTATCTCTAGACCTTTAGGCCAAGTCTTAGTATTTTTATTTGGTTTATTATACTTTCCCCACTGTATTTTTGATGAATTTATACAGAGGCACGTAATAGGATCTATTTTTTAGCATATCACTCAGGCAGCGGGATCGCACCGCAATACTTTGACTTGAATGTTGCCAAGTTTAAATTTTTTTAATTATCACCGTGTCTTTTCACTTTTCTTATTTAAACACAACAGCTATAGGAAGCCGGATTGGTTTCTCGTGGGAGAGAAACTGCTGTCGGGCAACACGCTGGCGTCCCCGTAGACGGGAGACGCGGGACCGTTGGCGGCGTATGGACTGCGCGACCAGGTGCGGGTTCGACGCGACATCGGACTCGCGTTCAGCGGAGGCAGCACGGTCTGAACGGGCTCCGTCGGCATTCGTATCTGGGATTTGTGTTGCAGCTTCGATTGTACTGAAAAAATAATTAACATACAATAGGTATCTTTGAAACTTTATCATTGAATGTTATTTTCTTATCCGTGAAAGAAAGCGACGAAGTCTTGACTTTCGTATTACGTATGTCGGATATATATGTATACGAACATCGACGAGTGCGTTCAATGCGGTTAAAGTCACTATGAACTCTACTAACGAGGCTATTTAATTTTACTAGTGGTTTCCTGGTAGTCAAAATTCGACTATAATTAATATAAGTTTGTTGTTTGTTGTATGATTCTATTATCAAAGACTATTATACTTCTATAATCACAGATTTCGCCAGGACTACACTATAGACAAATATTAATAGAGACAAACAATATTTAATCTATTCTCAATTTGACCACAGACTATATATAAGCAATAAGAAAAGTTTGACAGTAAACAAATAGTATGCATGCGTGGGTGTGTGTCAAATACATGGTAGTGTGTGTAATGTTTTTTTTATTGATTTAATGTACTTTTAATGCATAATTTAAAAAAAGAGCATTCTGCATTCTCTATATTCTATACTAGCTTCTGCCTGCGACTTCGTCCGCGTGGAATAGTTACTTTGACACAACGTGAAATTTTACCCGCCTTTTCATTTACGTAGGAAGTCAAAAAATATTTTTGAATAATAGAATGCTATGGAGTTATTTAAGGTACCAAAATCACGCTTCTTAACCGACTTGCATTAAACCTTCCTCGATAAATGGGCTATCTAACACTGAAAGAATTTTTCAAATTAGACCAGTAGTTCCTGAGATTAGCGCGTTAAAACAAACTCTTCTTTATAATATTAGTATAGATAAGAGTGGGAAATTTCATACTACTCCGTCCGCGCAATTTTCGTAAAAAGAGGTACAAAGTTTTTCTTCACGTATTAATACATAGATTATATTATATAAAAAGAATTCCCCTGAATGATCGTTTGCGTTTCTAACATATCATTAATGCCAATTATCAACCTTATGTCCCAAGTAATACGTACTGAACATGTAGGCCGCCGCGACGGCCGCAACAGTGAACAGGGTCGACAGGTAGGGCCGCAGCAGAGAGAACAGAGCCCCCAGCAACGTCCCGCACGACACGTCACACTCCCTCTCCACCTCGACCCGCAACTCCTGCGCGGTCAGCCTCGACTTCACCTCCACCCAGCCAGTGCCGCATGTCGACGCTTCGTTAGAGACGGTCACTGTGATTTCACCTTCATAAACAGAATAGCCATTCAATTAAAATAAATTATTAGAAATAAAAAGTGTTGGTTATAGTTCATATCATGTCATATCGAGCAAGATCGAGGGACTGCTGATTAATAGCCTTTGCAGCAGGCACTTGGAATGAAAAAAAGAATGTAATGATATATGTCTGATAGTTATGTGTTAGATTTTTAAAGTTCTAACAGATTATAAGTAATTCTTATTAAAAAAATGTTCTGGTTTTAAAAAAAAAACTGAAATAAAGTACAAAAAACATAGTTACCTAATTTAAGGAATTTGAACCATGTTTCTAAAAAATTAGATTGTGACGAAGTTTGGTGCAGGTTTATCTCATAGTACTATTAAAGTACGACAGAGGGCACCTAGGTACACTCAGGTTTTTTTTAATACATTTAACTTGAACCATAGCCAAACATAATCAGATTACAGCTGTTGTTACGAATTAAAAAATACTTACCATCTTTATGCGCCGTATCAACTATAAGGCCAGGCGAAGGAGTGACCTTGACTAGTTTCAAGGCCAAAGGGTGTCCTTCCACGGTGAACACTGCGGGGGGATGCAGCAGTGACACCTAGACATTACAATGTAGAACTTTTTATTTATTGCTTATATTGGTGGACGAGCTTACCTGGTGTTAAGTGGTTACTTCAGAACATAGACATCTACAACGTAAATGCCGCCACCCACCTTTGAGATATGAGTTCTAATTTCTCAGCTATAGTTACAACGGCTGCCGCACCCTTCAAACCGAAACGCATTACTGCTTCACGGCGGAAATAGGCAGCGTAGTCAGGCTTATCTGAGTACTTGAATATTTTTGCTTTCAGTGACCTTTGTTCTACCATAATTCCCACATTTTTACCCCCACTATTTCTTACATGCCCGTTATTAATTCTTAATTTTCCTAATAAAACCAGTCACAGTGGAGTTTTATTATCTATATATATAAAAATGAATTGCTGTTCGTTAGTCTGACTAAAACTCGAGGACGGCTGGACCGATTTGACTAATTTTGGTCTTGAATTATTTGTGGAAGTCCAGAGCAGGTTTAAAAGGTAGATAAATAATGAAAATGCTTGGAATTAAATAAAAATAACAATATTGTTTTCCCTTTGATGTGTCCCCCGTAGGTCCGTTCCTTTTGTTTGTTTTAAGTTTATTTTATACAAAAGTTAAGGTCTTTTATTTATCGATTGAGGCACTACGAAGTCTGACGGGTCAGGTATTTATTATATAAAATTAGCATTGAATAATCACCTTAGAAGCAGATGTGTGAATCAATGGCAGCAAATACGTTTTGGTGCAGGTTCGGTAGGCGCCCCACTCCGCGCACAGCTCGACATCCGAGGCCTCCGTGATGACGCTCGCTGGTACAATCTTACATCCCATTTGTCCTGAAATTGTAAAAGTGTCACTAGTTAAGTACACAGTACCTTTTTGGGCTCCGTCTCGGTTTGTACATTAGTCAGTGTCAAGTAATAAGATTTTTATAATTCGCCGTTTTAATTATTTACAATTTATGAATAATAAAAAACGAAGGAAACTGTCCATGTTGGTCATTATTAATATCAGTGTAGGTATGAATTAAATTGGCAGCGTGGGACGGTATAGATAGATTAGGTTGAGAAAGTAATTTGATTAATGTAGTAATTAGCTCTGCAAATGATAATATGAAGTGAAATGAAATGAAGTTGATTAATATTATGAAACATGGCATGAAATGAAATGAGATGATATGGGATGAAATATAATCTCAGTAAAATGGTGGTCATTTACTGAGATTTTCTCAGTGGACTTTTTGGAGGATCCCAAGAAGTTACGTCCAGCGGCTTTCGTTTCATTTTCCCACATTTTCACAGAATAGTTAATAAGACACCATTATTACACATTTAAACCTGAAAAAACATAAATAGACAAAATAAAAGAAATCACACAACTGCACTTCTCGCGTTCCCGCCAAAAAGCCGGTAACGATTTCAACGGCGTCATTTAGCAAACTTCAGTTAACTGATATATTGAAAAGAAACTCTTAATTCGAAATATCAAAGTCTGAATTAGAAAAAGTGTAATTTCGAAATAATATCGCGGAAGGTGGGTTTATTTCAAGTTATGTGACATTTATATGTTTTTAATCCTAGAACTATGTTTGAGCCGACTTAACCTAATAGGTGTATGGCTCTAATAAAGAATGAAGAGAAAAAAAAGAAAGAAAAAAAAAACTATGTTTTAATATTTTTAAATTACACCTTGAATTATTTGCATCTGCATTATTTCATTAGACTAACTCGGGGGTGCAGTGCCCTTGACTGTTGCGCCGAGGGTCGTGGGTTCGATTCCGACATCGAGCAAACATTCTTGCGATAGACAGGTTTGTTTACCGTTTGTCTGGGTGTTTATTATCTATATTTTTATATTTAAATGTATATAAGCATGTATGCCAGTATACCCATAACACAGGGAACCCTAATCTGGAGCCGGATGACGTGCGTGATTTTTGTTTATTTTTTATTTTTTTTATTGCTTAGATGGGAGGACGAGCTCACAGCCCACCTGGTGTTAAGCGGTTACTGGATCCCATGGATATCTACAACGTAAATGCGCCACCCACCTTGAGATATAAGTTCTAAAGTCTCAGTATAGTTACAACGGCTGCCCCACCCTTCAAACCGAAACGCATTACTGCTTCACGGCAGAAATAGGCAGGGTGGTGGTACCTACCCGTGCGGACTCACAAGAGGTCCTATCACCAGTAAAATTGGATTTGTTCCCAGCTATTTATTATTAATTGAAGGTACACGATTGCTTCGTAGGCGAAGAAGTCGATTATGGCCCCACGCACTGCCATCACCACTCGCGACGCTTGCAAAAGTTCGAGACCAACTATATGGTAATTGATAAGTTTAGTGGATCTCACCATTGATCATGTCGAGCACGGGCTCCGCTGTATGCGGCGGCTTGGTTCTGCAAGTGTAGGGTAGTTGTATTTGTACGCCTTCCAATGCGTAGCGCTGCTCCTCCGTGCACAGCAACGGACCCGACGTCAGTCCGGACGCTTCGATAGACAACGGGACCAGTGAGGACGCCCATTCGCCTTGCTTGAACTCGATCTGTATGATATATCTATATATTAATACGTGAAACAAAAACGTTGTATCCCAGTTTGCGAAAATTGCGCGGACGGAGGAGTATGAAATTTTCCACACTTATAGAGAATATAGAGAAGAAGTACACAATGCTAATTTTTTAATACACACATATTTTTACTAACACAATATTTTTTAAGATAATGCATAAAAGATACATTAAATAAATAAAGAAAACATTACACACACTACCATGTATTTGACGCACACACGCATTCATACTATTTATTTATTGTCAAACTTCTGTTTTTGACGTCTGTTGTCAAATTGAGAATAAATTAAATATTGTTTGTCTTTATTAATATTATTCTAGTGTAGTCTTGGCAAAATTTGTGATTATAGAAGTATAAAATAGAATCTTAATAGTGTACAAACTTATAATTTCAATTAATTATAGTCGAATTTCGACTACTGGGCGACCACTAGTTAAAGTAATTTCTTTAATGAATTATCATTTTATATATGCAGAATATACAGGACGGTCACTTTATTGCAGGGTTGATCGTGAAGTCGAGTCGCCCGCCACCTAGAGCAATAAATTATTGTAAAGCCATCGGTCCTAGATACGTGTACAAATTTTCAAGATCATCAGACGACTTGAAGTTAGTAATTTGACGATTACTTTAAAAGATAACGTTACATAGATCGAACTATAGTTTGGCCCGTTACAAACGTGCAAACTGAGTCATGAATCATTTCTATCAGACCTCTCGTTCACACTTATAGGCATATCGGATCTCTTGCTCACACGTCTGTTGTTGTGTGTTTAAAATTAAATCAATATAATTACACAAATAGTATATTACGCACCGAGGGAGAAATGTCCTTTGGTCCGTTACAAACTGAGTCATGAATCATTTTTATCAGACCTCTCGTTCACACTTATAGGCATATCGGATCTCTCGCTCACACTTCTATTGTTGTGTGTTTAAAATTAAATCAATATAACCGAGGGAGAAAAGTAAGGCATTCCGCCCGCGAATTGTTGTCACCCGAGCCGAACGTTGGTTATATGGTTTTATTGTATTATATGTTGGCATGGTTGTAACCTATAATTTACATGTACCAGTCATCAACGACCACGTCATCTGACTACCTGAACCCGAGCGGCATCCCTTTATCGATATTGAGTTGCGCGGAATTGTCACATTCCTTTGACGTAATGTTTTATGACTCGGTTCGCACGTTTGTAAACGCTCAAGTATAATAAGCCCCGGTCATCGTTCCCATCATCGACTAAACAAAGACTGAGTTTCTCGCTGGATCTTCTCAGTGGGTCGCGTTTCCGATCCGGTGGTAAATTCTACGAAGCACTGCTCTTGCTAGAGTCAGTGTTAGCAACACTCCCGATTTGAGCCCCGTGAGCTCACCTACTCGCCCGGTGACGCCGATATGGTCTCTCAAGACCATCAGCTTAGGTAGGTAAATATAAAGCGTGTCAGAAAGTCCGCGTTTACCTTTTCGACGGGTATCTGTTGTAGCGTGCAGGCGATGGCGGGTCGGTCCAGCCGCAGCACGTGGTGCGCGGTGACGTCATCGGTGAGGACAGCCAGCGTGGCGCCCGCGCCCGCCGCGGCCCGCACGCCGCTCGGCACGCGCCACCCCACGCCCTCCAGGCACACGCCCCACCCTCCCGCCGCTGACACACAAACATATCAGGCCGTCAAAGCAAAGGTGGCCTAAGCTTACCATAGTTATTGAAGTCGTCGTGGCCTAACGGATAAGACGTCCGGTGCATACGTGTTGAGCGATGCACCGGTGTTCGAATCTCAGGCGGGTACCAATTTTTCTAATGACATACGTACTCAACAAATGTTCACAATTTACTTCCACGATGAAGGAATGGCATCGTGTATAAAAATGAAACCGGCAAAATTTTAATTAGCGTAATCACTGGTGGTAGGACCTCTTGTGAGTCCGCACGGATAGGTACCACCGCCCTGCCTATTTCAGCCATGAAGCAGTAATGCGTTTCGGTTTGAAGGGTGAGGCAACCATTGTAACTGTACTGAGACCTTAGAACTTATATCTCAAGGTGGGTGGCGGCATTTACGTTGTTTATGTCTATGGACTCCGTAACCACTTAACACCAAGTGGGCTGTGAGCTCGAGATGAGATGTATTCTCGAATTTATATATAGGATTCGTTGCTATGAGCCAGGTCACCCGCTTATAATGCAAGAATGTTGTCATTGGGAAAACCACTGTAACGACAAGGCAGATATTTGTCATTCCGAACTTGTATATTATATGGAACCTATTTTGTAAATGTCGTTGGCGCGAATCAAGTTTTGGTCAGATCACTTCAATTCTATGTCAGCTACATCTTGGAGCTTTTGATTATATCGTATTCAAGGTGCACAATAATCGACCCGGTTTCTGCCATGAAAGAATCCGAATGCTTACGAGTAAGAATGATGGAATTAACCGTAGATTTTCCAAGATTTTTAACTCATGATAGGTGAGTTTAATTGCCTGTCAAATTTTTTTTTTTTTTTTCATACTCACCTACTATCCTGTCAGTCTTTGAATCGGAACCGGTGACCCATACGTCGTCTCTGACGGTCACGCCTCCGGCTGTACCCGCGAAGCTCACAAAAGCACCCGCAGAGTTCAAATTGGCTATGACTATTTCATTTCCAAGAGCACTAAAACAATATCATAACAATATTGTGGGTAATAAAAGAGAATCAAGAAAAAAAGACAGGCAGGGACTAACGAAACCCCACTGACGTTAATAGCATACCTTATTAATAACAAGTAGCCAGCCATTCATGAGCATTCAGACAGTATTTTCTATGTAAATTTACGATTTAAAGTCACATTTACTTTAATTGGTTACTGGAGCCCATAGGCATCATCACAAACGACCAGTAACTACGCACATGTAAACATGGAACTCTATTTTCCGACCTTAAGTTTCAAGGTCGACAACAGCATTCACGGTCTAGTGTCTACGGACTCTTATGGACTCAGTAGCCACTTGACACTGAGAGCTGTCTATGTGTCGTGCGAGTTTTTTAATTTCTCGATCGCGTAAAAGTTAACTAATTTTTTTATGGAGTTAGAACAGCGTTCCTAAGTTTTCCCGCTAGAGGCGCTGTTCCAATTCCATACAAATTTGAATTAGCTTTTACGTGATCGAGAATTTCTTTTACGCGATCGAGAATTTTAAAAAGTCGCACCGTTCGCACGGTCCTACATTTGCCGATAGAGGCGCTGTTCCAATTCCATACAAATTTGAATTAGCTTTTACGTGATCGAGAATTTCTTTTACGCGATCGAAATTTTTTTAAATTCGTTTCGTTCGAACGTTCCTACGTTTGCCGCTAGAGGCGCTGTTCCAACTCCATACAAATATGAATTAACTTTTACGCGATCGAGAATTTTAAAAAGTCGCACCGTTCGCACGTTCCTACGTTTGCCGCTAGAGGCGCTGTTCCAATTCCATACAAATTTGAATTAGCTTTTACGTGATAGAGAATTTCTTTTACGCGATCGAGAATTTTAAAAAGTCGCACCGTTCGCACGTTTCTTCGTTTGCCGCTAGAGGTGCTGTTCCAACTCCATACAAATTTAAATTAACTTTTACGCGATCGAGAATTTTTAAAACTCGCACTAATCACACCGGTTGCAGAATACGTACTTGTGGACGGCGCGCCTCGAGTGTGCGACCAGTGACGAGAGAACCGTGACGTTAGCGTCGGGCGCCAGTAGCTCGCGGCCTATAGAGCTCCTCATCACCAGTCTCACGGTGGTCTCGTCGTGCTCCCCTGACGGTTCTGCCGTGCAGTAGTGTGGTGTTGATACTTCGACGTGGAGAACCTGTAAAACATTTCTTTTTTTTACTACAGTAATCGATTTGGAGTGGCCTCATTCATACGAATAAATACGTTTTTACTGGTGGTAGGACCTCTTGTGAGTCCGCACGGGTAGGTACCACCACCCTGCCTATTTCTGCCGTGAAGCAGTAATGCGTTTCGATTTGAAGGGTGGGGCAGCCGTTGTAACTATACTGAGATCTTAGAACTCATATCTCATGGTGGGTGACGGCATTGTAGATGTCGTCCACCCATCTATTCAATAAATAAAAATGTATATTAATTTGAATAATTTAGAATTTCGATCAATAAACTTTCCTTCAACGCTCCCGTTTAGCTTAGAATGGAAATTATGTATAAGGAAAACATTCCAAAATTAAAAAATATTCACCGTCTCCCTATAGATATTATTTCTGTCGTCCTTGTGTTGGGCCACTATAACACCGTGTCCCGGTTTCAAGGCCCTGAGTTCGCCGTTAGGGTTGACTTCGAACGAGCCCTCGCTGAGAGCCGACCAACTGCTCCTGGGCAACGACTTGAGTCGCAGAACCGACCCGGGGGCCAGGGCGAGGCGCTCGCCGGACCGCAGCGGCTTCGGCAGCCCATCCACCGAAGTCCGAATGTCGGATACGGCTAGGATCTCGATCGTGCTGTCCCAAGTGCGAGTCTCGACAGCCTGTCTCGGATACAAAAACAAACGTATTTAATTCATGTGCATCTAAAGACCACCTCGATAGTGTGCAGCCAAATGTAATGATTAGGCAGGGACAGGTCGCTGATGTGTTTAAAAACCAGAAATTTTAAGAAGAATGCTATTCTGTTTGTCTGCCAATTTTTTCTTTCTGTCTAGTACCAATTGACAATAGGGTCGTCAATAAAAAAAATATTCAAACTAGGCAATTTCTGCTTTAAAATCTCTCTCTAATTCCCGCAACACGTGAACTCGTTGGGGTCAATATCAAAACTAATGCGTTCTCTGAAGACGAGCACGAATTTTAATTGTTTATTTACTGCCGTGTTGGCATCTAACGGAATAGCGTTATATTAATTTTTAATGTTCGATGAACAATTTCCACGCACCTGTCCCATATTTCGTACACGAACGTCAATAGTTATGACTCCGGGCTTCAGGGGCACCACTCGCACTGACAGACCATCAGCAACTGACCTTTCCAATAAATCTGCAAATTGATGAAACATTGTCAACCTAAATATTATTAACCCAAATAACAACAGGCAGTTGAAAGATTCCATGAAGATTGAAACTTTGATCTTTTTTTTGTTTAGATGGGTGGACGAACACACAGCCCACCTGGTGTTAAGTGGTTACTGGAGCCTATAGGCATCTACAAAGTAAATGCCGCCACCCACCTTTGATATATGATTTCTAAGGTCTCAGTATAGTTACGACGGCTGCCCCACCCTTCAAACCGAAACGCATTACTGCTTCACGGCAGAAACAGGCAGGGTGGTGGTACCTACCCGTGCGGAGTCACAAGAGGTCCTACCACCAGTAATTACGCAAATTATAATTTTTCGGGTTTGATTTTTATTACACGATGTTATTCCTTCACCGTGGAAGTAAATCGTGAACATTTGTTGAGTATGTATGTCATTAGAAAAATTGGTACCCGCCTGAGATTCAAACACCGGTGCATCGCTCAACACGAATGCACCGGACGTCTTATCCTTTAGGCCACGACGGCTTGAATAACTATGAACATTTGTTGAATACGTCTTTCATTAGTTTATGTTTATGTTTCAATATGGACGTCAGTCCATAAACTCCAATAGCCGTTTAATGCCGTAATGAAACACTAATATACTATATTACCGTCAGCATGTGTTGTGTAGAGCCTAGCCGAAGTCCCATCCCTTATGGTCCAGGTGAGTCTGGGCGCGGGATGCAGCGCGGCCAGCGACGACGCCCCGAGTCCCGCAGCCTCCACCCACAGCGGAGATGGAGATCCCACGAGAAGAGTTTGAGTAGCCGCTCGTACACGAAGACCGGTTATCGGAATGACCTGTAACACATTAATGGATTATTATAACATTACAGGTGGTAGGACCACACATATAAGCAATAAAAAAATATTATTTTTTTTTCACGGAAACGCGTACTTATGTATACTGTATTTTTTTTTATTATTAGGTAAAATCATACTGGTATTTTCTTTTGTTGGTCATATTACCTCAACTTCAGATTCAGCACTGGCCATTTCAACGTCAGCAATATCAGTGGCCACCAACTTGATGCGCGCCGTGCCGGTCGATAGACCCTGAACTGACCCGGTCGAAGACACCTGGAATTAAAGAAACTACTCAAGACCTAACACTGACTACTCATATAAATCAGTAAACTAATGTAAGTTTTAGAACATCTTCGCTATACATTAAATTCAATGACAGTTGTTCTAAAGGCACGCCAAATAGTCTGCGAGGTTAATTAATTAAATTTGGAAATACAGGGTTTTTTTTTTTTTTAAATTCAATTTATGATTAAGAAAATTATTTATTTAAAGCACAATGCTGTCGCTATTCATATCTGTAGCTTCAGTTTAAGCCTGGATTTCGAATTCTATAGGTTCAATAAGACATTTAAAAAAATTATCTATAAGAGACACAAACAAAAACAACACATCATATGCAAATGAAAAACACAATATCAGTGATTGGATGCACATCTAAAATTGTATCCACGTTTTTTTTTCTTGTAAATAAAAATTTTCAATTTCACATGTGAGTCGTCTATTATCAAAGGTGGCAATCTGTGCATTTGGACAAAAAAATGTTATTGATATGTCAATACAGATTGATTTGAATATAATCGTCTCCTTCAAAGAATACGGTTCAAAACCTGCATTAAATAAAGGTTAATAGTTAACCTGTTATTTATCTAAGATGTCGTTCTGAAGAGTTTTGTGACTGCCAATGGAATACAAAGTCAATAATTCGTTTTTCTGATTTACCAATAATTGTCCAAAAGTCACATTGCCGGCTTTGATAATAGTCGACTCATGTGTGTTATTATTTAATTTTATACGTGCAGATGTGTATTCTGAGCGTAACATACTTCGGCAGGACCGTGCGGTGCGAGTCCGATGTAGTTTAGTGACGCCAGATGCGGAGGAGGACCGCCTCTGTGTTGCAGCTGCAACCGCGCGCCGGGCGGCAAGCGAGCCCTCGGAGGTATGATCTCTAGGGGAGGGAATACGGTCACCTATGAAAAAAAATGTATTATTAGTCGACAATATGAAGATTTTATGTGATAGTATTCTGCGAGACTTTTGTTTTGATGCAACTTATTTATTATTATTAAATTATTTGTAAATGACTGTATATTATATAACCGTGTGTAATACAGCTGACTGAAAAAAGAAAAAAGAAGAACCATATAGTAGTTTGGTTGCTGTAAACCCATTAATAGTATACCCATATAGTATATTAATAGTTATTATTAATATTAATACTCATTTATATTAAAAGATAAAATATTAACTTGAATAAAATTTATAATAAATAAATAAACTAAGGGAGGGCCCTAGCAAGTATTCAATAGTATAATTCCAAATATTACACTCACCTCAACTTCTGAACTCCAAACTCCACCCAAAGAAGCTCTGACCCTCCCGGTTCCCTCTTTCACTCCACAGAGAGTTCCATTTGTGACCGCCACATTTCCTACGGTCCTGTAGTCCGGATTGCGACTGCTCGATATATACCTGCGCGACACTCCTTTAACTAGTGTCGTTATCGGCACGCACCCTCCCACACAAACCGCACGGGCTGTCGACACCTCGACGCTTAAAATCTCTTCAATATTAACCTGTCAAATTATCTGATATATAATTTTATATTTACTTTTAACAAATAAAGGCAATAAATAGGGCAGTACGTACCTCGACTATTTGTTTTTCTCCGTGGACACAAAGATCGGTGACAACAAGCTCGTAAGACCCAGGGCCCGGTACTACAGTAGAAAGCTTTCCATTGTCCACACTGGCTACAACCCCTTTGGCTGTTTCAACGGTGTAACGACCACTACCACCGGATACTGTCGCTATGTTGTTTAGGATTTCACCCTCCCAGGCAAGGTTTATCTGAACCAAATCCAGCTTCAACGGTGCAACAACTTTGGCCTGAATACTAGCAACAGCTTCCGGAATGTTTGCTTTGAGGACTCCACTCCAGCCCACGGCCTGTTCGTCTGCGATCACCAACTGATAATACTTATAAGGAACGGGGACGGGAGCGTATTCCGGATGCGTTTCGATAAACAATCTATCCGTGGCTCTATACTGTATACCTGAATGGTGAGGCTCGATTTCCCACGTGACTCTAGGTCCTCGCTCATCCAAAAGTTCCCGTCCAATAGCGTCCAATAACGTAACTCTGATGGACAGTTCGTGGCCGGGACGCAACCACAGTCTCGGGCCTCCGGTACAGTTGGCGTGCACGTCGGGCAGTTCCAGGCGCACCCGCGACACGTGCGGAGCGCACGCTGTATCTATGCGCACCGATTCGCGTTCATCATCCGATTGCGAAATCAACTCCACACGCGCATCACCCTTTCTATGACACTTGAAAGAAAACAACTGCACTTGAGGGTACCTGTGTGGCGACGGACCGCTTCTTGAAGATAGCTCTGCAATTCGGGGCTCATTTGATACTGGTTCTAGCGACTCTCCCTCTGCTAGAACGGGTAAAGTGGCTCCGACGAGCGCTGCGGCGTTCTTAGGCCAGAGTAAGGTCGGCGCGGCTCGGACTGCCACGCGCGTGGTGTCGCCGGTGCGACCTCGAGCCACGCGCACTGTGGCCACGCCCCGGGATATAAATATACACTCTAACACACAACACGCTCCTTCGACGGGCTGGACCCAAGGTGCAGAAGTTACATTGTGAGGTTCGGGGCCTTCGAGTAGCGAAACCGCAAACGATGCACAGTTACAAATGTCGAAATTGTATAGTTCGCCTGTGGTAGGATGCGTCGCGGTGAGTGCTACGTGCAAATGGTGAGGCCTGCCGACGCGTGCGTGCCCAGAGCTCGACACTTGCAATAACTCCGCTGGAGCTGACCACACACGTCCCGTGGCACGTACGTGAGGGTACTTCTTTAATTGCACTTGTACATCGACATCTCCCAATCCACGAATCGTGGCTATTCCCGTTGATGCAAGAGAAATGCCGCCACCGTCGTTATCTTTCTCGGACCATACGACTGGTTCATCACCACCCCCACGGTGTTGAAGTGTTAATTCCTGAATCGTGTCCGTCCACGCTATGAACGTTTCAGGTGGGACTATCTCAAGTGGTTCTACAGCAACTGCTGATGCCTGACCTTCCACCTTCGTGTTTACAGTTTTACCGGCAATTGAATGTAATCTTGCTGTGACTGTGAAAGAGCCAGCATTGAGGGCAACCGCATCTGTAATGGTACCATTTTCTGTAGACCGGAACAAATCAACATTTGCATCTCCTTCAACTGACAACCTAATCAGGATTTCATCACCAGCAGTAAGCGGGTGGCCTGTAGAATCGAGCAACAGACTGTGTACAATAAATGCTTCTCCGCGTATAATTAGTTCAGGAGGTCTAATTGTGACCCTGATACTGTGTGGTTCAGCTACAGAAAGTGTTGCAGACGCGACTTCTGTGACCCCTGACATAAGAAATATATTTGTTGTTCCAATGTCCATGCCTCGGACCAAACTTGTACTGTCTTCCAATAAAGCAATACCAGTCTCTGGAACTTTCATGTAGTATAATGTTTCAGATATGTCTTGTACAGTGAGGCGACCTGCACGTGCTCGTACAACTCTGCACAGCAAAAAACAATTTTCATTTGTATTACTCATATTGCATGAAATACACGGATGTGGCTCTAATTTACATCCTAAAATTAGGTGATTAGCTTACACAACAAGCAAAAACGTCCATTAGACATCATTATTCTAGACAAACAAAATTTGGTACATATGAGTCGACTATTATCAAAGCCGGCAATCTGACTTTTGGACAATGATTGGTAAATCAGAAAAACGAATTATTGACTTTGTATTCCATTGGCAGTCATAAAACTCTTCGGAACGACATCTTAGATAAATAACAGGTTAACTATTAACCTTTATTTAATGCAGGTTTTGAACCATATTCTTTGAAGGAGACGATTATATTCAAATCAATCTGTATTGACATATCAATAAATTTTTTTTGTCCAAATGCACAGATTGCTACCTTTGATAATAGACGACTCATATGAGCTATTTGAATTTAATCACTCAATTCCTAATCAATTTATTAAAAAACCTTGTGTAAATTAACTAATTTAATTTGGCAATTAGTTACAAATATTACAAACTAGTTTTTGCTCGCGATTTCGTTTGCGAGGAATAGTTACTTTGGCATAATGCTAAATTTTACCCGTCTCTTCATTTATGTAGAAAGTGAAAATATTTTTGAATTATAGAATATTAAGGAGCTATTTAAGGTACCAAAATATTTGACTTTCCTAAATAAATGAGCTATCTGACACTGAAAGAATTTTTCAAATCGGACCAGTAGTTCCTGAGATTAGCGCATTCAAACAAACAAACTCTTCAGCTTTATAATATTAGTATAGATATAATAATATATTTTCTTACTACTAAATTAATTTAAACAATAATGCGAACACCATTGTTTGCTATGTTCAGCTCTAGATTCTTAACAAGATTTCTTATTCATAATTATCCTCAAAAAAGTTATACAATGTAAGACAGAGGCAGGAACCATTTTTGTTCACTCATATCACCACTGACCTATTTTAAATAGCTGTGAATAAATGTTTTATACTGCATACCAATAGCTTACCTATATTTCAGTGTATCTCCTGGAGCAATAACTGCGGTTGCAGGCATCAAAACGACACTGGCAACCACTTGCAAGGTGAAATCAGAACAAATATTTTTGAGACATACGGTCACACGACAATCACCCATAGCCTGTCCATACAGTAGCACTGAATAAGAGCGTTTGCCTTGAGCTTCAAGCTCTAAGACACTGGGAGGAGCTTCATAATCTGTATCACGCCACCAAACTAACCTAAAACAAATGTCAATTCTATAGTAAAAATTTTATGTTAACAAATATGATGAGTCATATACATTTACGAAACAAGAATCAGCCTAAATTAAGAAACACTTTGATATGCATGGTCTTAATTTTCTACATATTCTAGTAACCTCAAGGGGTTATTCTAGATTCACCGAGCTAGTAGGTGAGCTCACGGGGCTCAAACTGGGAGTGTTACTAACACTGGCCCTAGCAAGAGCAGTGCTTCGCAGAATCTACCACCGGATCAGAAACACGGCCCACTGAGAAGATCCGGTGAGAAACTCGTAGGCTGTGTCTATGGGGAGATGCATGGTCAAAATAGGCCCTTAGCTACTTTTTTAATTTCAAATTGCAACCACTCACCACTAAATTATCTCATTTTGATGAACTTTACTAACTATACAAAATAATATGTTATGAACTATAAAACAAGTTGTATGAAACATATAACTTCTATGAGTAAGTGCTATAAAGTAATTTCTGATAAGAGAAATGCTCATAGTGATAATGTATTTTTAATGGATTAAACATAATTACTGACTTTTTGTATATACATATTTAACTAAACATGAAATGTGATATATACTTACATAACTAAAGGATCTTCACCAGCACTATTGCCGAGATTTTCAACTGTCCAAGTAAATGTGAGGCCATCTAGTGTTGAAAATTTGTTTCCTGAATGAACAAAAATTTATATTATGTTTGCAAAACAGTAACAGATGTGAGGAAACAATTCTTGTTATTCTCTAATTATAATAATATTTCTATCTTTGGGTACCTTACTTATTAACTGATTGTAAATGAATTGATGCCCAGGGTGGCCTCTACCGGGTGTATTCATTTTGGATTGTGGATACATAAGATATGACTTTATTAAAATTTAAAATTCAGACATAAACTTAAGCTTCCTTTTTGTGTTAATATAAAGAATATGTTTTGTAGGCAGAATTCTAATCATTTAAAACTTCTTTTAGTATGTGTAACCAAGCCAACATGTTACAATTCATATTTGCTTTAAGTAGTCATAGATAACAAGATTCAATAAATGAACCATTATGGAATGATTGTATGTTTTCTCAACAGGCTCCTTCAAAATTACAAATGAATTTACAGTTTCTCTGACTCAGTAAGACCATAATACATAATGTCAGTACCATTGTTATGTTTTTAAAACAAGTGTCAGATATGAATATGATTGATTAAAGAATTTCCATCAGCATACCTTGATCATCATAAGCAACAACTTGAAATGCCTCAGGAGCTTCTTCCAAGAAAAGCTTCCATGTTGTGCACATTACTTCCAGAGACTTTACTTCATCGACGTCCACATCACCTCGAAGAATCTGAAATATAAATTTTTATCGCTTTGCTTTTAGTTTATACTTTACTCTTGGCTTTACTGTAGATTCTAAAAGTGAGTTCTCAAAAAATTCATAATTTAATAATTGGTTAACGTTTGAGACTGCAGGAATATCTCAAAATTTGATGTTTATATTTTCCGTTACAACATAAAATATTATTTTGCGAACTTAATAAAAAATCCCGCCATTTTATAAAAATTAATACAAACCTCTCCGGAATTGACTTCTTCGGCTAGAATTATTACCGTGCCTGGGGAAATACATGTCTTGGAGACTGATACGCGCGCCGACCGTGAACAATGCTCCCATGAATTTTCATACAAGGGTTCTAAGTCAATGATGTCATCCCTCGATAAACTCCTAAAAACACAAAATGTTTTACAATATTCACAACTTATAGTTATTACAGTAGATTTAGTATGTAACGTACCATGTATAACAGCCCCCTTCAATAATTTCGAAGGTAAAATTCACGTGGAAATCTTCAAACCATGGAAGAAGCACCCTCGGCGTGTTTATTTTGGCACTATCACATGTTTTTAAGCATAAGTACAAAATGAATACAGTAAAATAATGTTTTCGTGAATACATGGTTGTAGTCACGCAAACGAAATTCCTAATATTTATCTTTTTCGTATTATTTTATAACGAACAGTTTAAATAACCTCCTCTAGAAGAAAGCAACATTTTTTGAATAAATGACAGATGAATGATACAAAATAAAGCAGCAGCAGTTTCGTTTTTCTAACTGTAAAGGCAAAGGTATCTCACCATATGGCTTAATCTTTTGTATCTTCTGTTTTTTGAAAAACGATATGGAGTGAAATAAAATGAAGTTGATGAATTCTAAGGATAGAAAACTGCATGGTTCAATTGTTGTGGTCTAAAAAATGAGTTGTCCAGTGTATTCGTTTCTTCTCAGTCGTGTCACTCTTGACAGAGTGGTCGTGATCGTCATGTAGTTTTCTTCGGACACGTTTCGCGACCTGATGGCCGGTCCATAGAACGCCTCGTTGTACAGGGAAGCGTTGATGGTACAAGACCGCGCGGGAGGCCACCAATGCGGTGGACCGACCAAATTAAAACTGCAGTGAGAGGTCCCCTAAATGAGTGCAGTAGAATGGCCTCGAGCAGGGAGAAATGGCGTGACATCGTGTATTCGTATCGAGTGATAAAATTGTAAAAATTATAATTTGTGTAATTTTTGGTGACAGGATATCTTGTGAGTCTACACAGATAGGTACCGTCTCCCTGTCTATTTCTGTCATATGCGTATCGATTTTAAGGGTGAGGCGATTTTAAGGGACTTAGAACTGATATACGGTCTGGTCAGCAGCGGCGGTCATACACTTTGTCGAAGACGCTGCCATGTCTGTGTCTGTTCATAGTTTTGTCTTCACCATAGGACTAGTCTTTTTACTCGAAGGACCACTTGAACGGTCGGCTATATCTTTTGTCGTCTATTTTATATACATATGAGAACGGTCAATTCGTTCCTTGTCGTCTCGTTTGTGTCCGTCTTTTAGGAAGTCGAAAAATATACTGCCTGCCGCTAGTCACGTACGCCCTCGTTTCATTTCTCTCTTTATTTTTGAATTTTTGTCAAGTGTCTGTCTTAGTATGCGTCTATGTCTAGTCGCTGTAGGTCTTAAATCCTGTCAAAGAGGTTGCACACCACGACAATTAGGTATAATGGTAAGATATTTGTCATAAAAACATTTGGTGATAATGAGGCTCCGTCGTGTAACCGCCTCATTTCTTCAACCTTTCTCTGTCGTTCCACTGTTTTGTAGCTGTATGAAGAAAAGGAGCCTTTACATCCTTTTTCTTGATAACACTGAAAGTAAAACATTGAATTAAAAACTTTACTGATCAAAATGGAACTTTTTGGTGGGAACGCGAAGAGCGAAGTTGAATTGTTTTATTTTGTCTATTTAGTGTTTCTTCAAGCTTAAATGTGTAATAAAGGTGGTTTATTAATGGTTTCGTATCTGTGAAAGTGCACAAAAGTGGGAGAATGAAACAAAGCCGCTGGATGTAATTTCTCGATGGAGTATCCAAAAAGACCACTGAAAACAGTCTCAGTAAATATTTCACCCCATATCATGTCATATAATTTCATGCCAATTGATTAGTGTTTCAAATTACTCAACTTCATTTCATTTCACTTCATATTTATCATTTTTAATAAAAAAAGTTTAAAGGATTAGGGTGTATGGTATGAAATCTTTGCATTTCCATTTAGAAGAATAGGTACGACATAGGTACTAGGTACTGTCAAAATGCCTAATATGGCTGCTTTGTGTTCTTCGTGTTTTGTGTCGTTCTTATTGTGAATATTATAAATAAAAACTAACATGAGTCATACCAGGTCGTAAATGAAAGCTGTACTAACGAACGGACCTATCTACAAATTACGAAAACGCTCGAGCTCTGTGTAGGATTCTCGAAATAAATATGCCAGTGAACAAGTCAACACAAATTAGAGGTAACGAGATCGATAAAAGCAAACGTCGTCATAAAACTGACGACACTGTTGTTGCAACAGCGACACCAAATATCTGTGAAGATACGGTGCAATCCTCAAAAATGGAGACCCCAAACGATTACACTGGGAAACCAACAGAATTGATTCTTCAAGGCAACTCTCACTTAATGTCAAGCACCACGAGCAGTCTGGCCGATACGCCTGGTGATTCTGGTGTATTGTGTTTAGATAGTGATGCATCTGAAGCAACTAGTCAGGCCCTCATGACTCATAGTCTTGTTGGAGCAGAGGAACTAACTTGCGATAGTCTTTACGACGCTCCTCCTTCGTGCTCCCAAGACATGATAAAAAGTACCACTAGCAGCATTATGACCCGCAGTGATATTGACAATCAAAATATAGCAGCCTCAGAAGATGTTGTCCCTGAACTTGTAATTGAAACAAAAAAGTTATCACCGTTTGAAAACCTCCCTGATGTAATACTAAAAGCTTTAGAAAGTGAAAAAGGTTGTGTAGAAGAAATCAGAAAACCTGCTCTGAGATCTTGCGAACCAAAGAAATCATTATCAGAGGACATAGTATACAGACGGAGATGTAGAAAAAAGTCACAAAGTGGTCCAAGTTCACAAAAGAAAAGGGTCTCGTTTCATGAGGATATATTAAATAGCACAAAAACAGATAACATACATATTGAGCGTGGCTTCATTTCGTATAGACCAGATAGTTCATACTGTGATAGATTTAGGCAAAAGAACAATGTTGCATCTGACAGATTCTCATGGTGTGCATCTGGAGACCAAACACCAAAATATGCAGCAGATGTAGCTCAACAAACTATGTCCGATATTCTTGCATATGGAGATTCAAAAAATGATAGAAGCGGTATATTTGAATACTGTCAAAATGATGAGGCTGAAAAGCAAACTAATAAAGATAAAGACAACAATAATGAACTTAGAACAAGCGGGAAATTATATGGTTGTGATTCTAACAGCTCTGATTCTAATTTTAGTTGTGATTCAGAAACATCTTCCAGTGATTCAACTTCTTCCCATTCAAATAAAACTGAAACCTCTCCAGTGCGTAGGAAGTGTGACAAAACCCAAAAATCATACTCATGTGATGCATTTGAAAATAATGCACATGTTGCATTCATGAGGAAAACCTACTTTTCTGAAGCTGATATTGATCAATCACACAGTAGAATGAAGAAACCGCTCGAGGTTCAGCAAAGCCCAATAGCTGTAAAATCAGTTTTAAAAAAGAAACGTTACATACCTACAAATATTGTTGAAGAGAAGAAACAGAACAATAAAGTTCTAAGCTTACTGGATGCAAACAATATAATAGAGTCATTAAAAAATTTCTACAAAAACTTTCAATTCAATTTTGCTCCTGAAAGAGGTTTGCCAGAAAGTACTTTAGACTTGAACAATGTTGTTGAAGCTATTCCATGTGACATCAATCAGAACAGCAATATTTCCAAAAGCTTAGATTCTGGGTTCCATGTTGACGGGGAAGATGATTTTGTTGAAATAAATCTTAATGGTCAAACTTTGGAATCTGGTAAATCAAAAGATATTCCTGCACAGCCCAAGACTAATGTAACTGGAGTTAAGACACCTAATGGAGGATCACCTCGCCACAAACTAACACTGAATATGAAAAATCAAGATAGAAGATGTAACAAAGGAGATGTCCCAGCATCTCTTAATAAGTACATAGTTAATTGTGAAAGTACTGTGTATGAGCACAAGGGTGTATCTTATAGTTATGTACATGATACGTTCCAGACTGCATTTGATGCACCTAAAGAATCTTTTGTACCAATACCTGAGTCGACCCCAGTGAAAGAACCAACTGCAACTACAACAACAACTACAACAAACAAAGATAATTCAAAACATTCTGAAATAGATACATCAAGCAAGACATCCACACCAAAGAGGCAGTTCAATAAGAATGTCCAAGAAGAAACTGAACAAAAGAATGGTATTTCTAAACATTTGTCATCCCCTAAAAGGCAGAATGTGAACAGATATAGTCGTAAATCAGCATCAACTATCCAGAAGTTAACAGATGAAGAGAAAATTAAAGGAAATGTTGAAAACTGCTCCAACACTGACAATTCTACTTTGAAAGGTGCCGAGGATCTGAATGATGAGTTCTTTGATAGTCCTGCAAACCAAAAGCTGCAATGTAACAAATCAGCCTTACTGAATAGATATCTGAAAAATGTTTGTCAAAGGAAAGACCTTGAGCTGAAAATAAAGAACAATAAATTCTTTCAAATTAAACTGTTGTTAGAAAAGCATTTTCCTAGCATCATAATTCCTTTCAAAGATGTGTCTGAGTCTTTTCACATTTCAGCCGAGAGGATGTCGCGTCTTATAGACAAAGAGGTAATAGAAAACAAAAGATTGTCTGTGAGAATGCTTACAGCAGAAGAACCATCATACTTTGACAGTTTCGAGGACAATGTCGCCATTGAATGTAACGAGAAATTAAGATTGAAAATATTTACTTATCCCAATGAAACATTGAATAGGGTAAAAATTATTTATCCATAATAATTTAGAAAACTTTCATAAACAACTTTTTAATTACTTGTTATCTTTTAGATGATGAAAGTCCAATCACCTTATTTCATGGATGACGGATCATGGATGCCTCTATTAGTCTTCATAACAGATTACGCATTATATGTGGCCAATGTGAAGCAGAAAGGCACAGAATATGAAATCTTATGTAAATTACCCCATAATGAACTGGATGCTATAGCTGTAAGTTGTTATATTTCATTTTTTTTTTTTTATTGCCCTTGTAGGCAGACGAACATACGGCCCACCTGATGGTGAGTGGTTACCGTCGCCCATGGACTTCAGCAATGCCAGGGGCAGAGCCAAGCCGCTGCCTACCGAAATAATTGACATAATGTTAAATATTTATTTGATTTTCATTGACCAAGTCATAACGTATTCTTTATAATTAGACTAAAAGACAAATATATTTATCAAAGACATTAAAACCAAGCATGATTTGAAACCAGACTGGCACTGTAGTCATGGAAATATTGACAACGTGTCAGTGATAGATAATGAGAGACTATATTGACTGCTTATTTTTAAATGCCTAATTTTATTTGCTGACCTACATTGACAAATAAAATATTATGTAACAATTTA